GCCTCGGCCGCGCCGAGCCCCGCTCTCCGATTGGTCGGCGGCGCGCAGCCCGCCCCGCCCCCTCGGAGGGAATAAAAACCCCGGGGCCGCCGGCGCCGCGGTGCAGCTGGAGAAAGCCGGCCTGAGTGAAAGTGTCAGTCGCCGCCGGTCCTCTGCCTCCTCACGCTCGCAGCGCCCGCTGGAGCCCGCCACCATCCCCACGACGTGTTGCCCTGCACCCGCAGTCATGTGCCGGACCCTGGCCGCCTTCCCCACCACCTGCCTGGAGAGGTAAGAGGAGCTTGTCCCGCTGCCCCGAGGAAGAAGTTCAAGTCCCATGAACCCTTAGAACGTGAAACGGCAGGCTTGGGACCTGGGTGGGTGGCACAATGGGGATGCTGATGACTTGAGTGGAGAGGCAGGGGGACAGCTGGTGCCGCATGCCCAGATGCTTCCCTTAGCGTCTTAGAGGTGCCGGGCCATGAGAAGGGAGAAGGAAAAGCAAAGGGATCACTGCTTACTGTCATCCCCTATCCTCTGACAAATGGCAGTCCTTCTCAGGTGACCTGCCGAAGACTTTGCTGCAGAAAGACCCCTTGGCGTCACCAGGCAGAACTGTCTTTCTCAGTTTCTTAAAACTTGGTTTTCGTTCCACAGCCCAGATCTAAGGGAATGGCCTCCTCTAGCCCTGGGAAAGCGGGGAGGTGTTTTTCAAGCCCCCAGGTGAGGGATGTACCCACTTCCCAGGGGACTACGCAGTTGCCTCCAGTTCTTACTGGAGCTGGTGGCCGGGAAGGAAAACATAAAGATGAGCAATCAGTTTCCGCGCAGTGCCACGAATATTCGTGGCAAGCCTAGAGGGTGCGGAACTGCCTTCTGCTAATCAACAAGCACAAAGAGCAGTGTGGCTTACGTGGAAACAAGCCCATGTCTGAAGTTCTGTAAACTCAGAAAGTGTAAGACCTACAAGGCCCAGCTCAAACGTTGCTTTCATTGTTTCTGGGTTCCTGGCACTAAGGACAGAAGCAAAAGTTAGGCCTTGGGAACAACCAAGGAGCCCTTGGAATTCGGATGGCATCAGCCTGACCTCTTCTGACACCCCATAAACCTCTTTGCCCTCGCTAAGCACGTGGAGAATCCTAGGTTAGGCCTCGGGAACAAGCAAGAATTCCCAGGAGCCCTTGGAATTCGGATAGCATCAGCCTGACCTCTTCTGACACCCCATATACCTCTTTGCCCTCGCTAAGCACGTGGAGAATCCTTACATGCTCATGCTTTGTCTTCCAGAGCCAAAGAGTTCAAGACACGGCTGGGGATCTTTCTTCATAAATCAGACCTGGGCTCTGATACGGGGAGTGTTGGCAAGTTCGAGTGGAGCAGCAAACACAACAAAGAGGGGTGAGTCTTGCTGACAGCCTAGGGCTTCTAGGGGAGGCGGAGCCCGATTAGGGAAGGAGCCGTGAGAAGGAAAGTACAGGGAGAAACTAGGACATGGTAGCTGGGGCGGAGCTCGCTGACCCCTTCCTGGAGATTTTAGTGGGGTTTCTTGCTGGTCTCTATGGCTGCTTGGCTCATGGGTGACAGGGTGGTTAGCTCCAGGGTTCCAAGTCCATCAACAGACATGTACACTTAGGACCTGAATGTCTAGTTACCAGACTCTCTCACCTGGAGTTGTCATCGCAATGCAATCAGGGCTAGGACAGGGTCCCAGACCACTCGAGGTTTTTAATCAATGACTCTACTTCCATTGGTAAGCACCTTGTCTAGAAGCTCTTTCACATTGAACGTCAACCATGCCAGGTGCTGCTCTAGGTTATGGGTGGACGTAATCCTTATTCACAAAGCCTTCACGTCCCTGGGGAAGTGTACAAAACAATGCTCTGAGAGCCAGAGGAATAGAAACAATTTTGGACAGTGAAGAAGCAGTCTCAGAGATATTTTCTGAGGACCTAAAGGCCCCTGGCTTTGGTTTTTGGTTACTGAATTGTCCTCTAGAAAACATCACTGTTGCCCTTAACCCCAACGAAGGGTTTGAGGAGTCAACTCTCATAATTACCAAGCACATCTTTGTGCGAATTATGCAACCCCCAATCGGAGTTCTGGCTGGGATTTGCACTATGTACTAGTTTGTTGATTTTTTAAAAAATTAAAATCTTGGCCTTTTTTTTATATAGCAGAAACTTCTCAGAAGATGTGCTGGGATGGAGAGAGTCGTTCGACTTGCTACTGGGCAGTAAAAGTGAGTAAGACCCTGTTGTGTGTGTCTGTGGATGGCACGTGTGTACTCATGTGCTTGGGTGCCAGTCTGAGGGATGCTGAAGCGTGGGCAACGTAACAGTAATAGTAATAATAATGATCCCCTAGTGTGCCAGCCTCTATTCAGAATACAAAGGCAGGTCCTTGTTCGAGAAAATAGCATCCTAAAAATAGAGCCATTAACTACAATTGCTGTCTTTTCTTCTTTTATTCCCTTTTGTCCCTCTGTCTGACCTGTCTCTCCTTGTCTCCCTCCCACCCCAGATGGAGTGGCTGCCTTCCACGCTTTCCTAAAGACGGAGTTCAGCGAGGAGAACCTGGAGTTCTGGCTGGCCTGCGAGGAGTTCAAGAAGATCCGCTCGGCCGCCAAGCTGGCCTCCCGGGCTCACAGGATCTTTGAAGAGTTCATCCGCAGCGAAGCCCCAAAAGAGGTGAGAGCCTAGATCTGTCCCCTGGATCCTCCAGGCCCCGCCTGGTCCTTCTCCACTGAGAGCTGGGGCTGTGGGAGGTTGGCAGGTGAAGGGCTGAGTTTAGAAGAAGAGTTGCCTAATTTGGAACGGGACTGAGTGGGCTTCTGTGGCTGGAGCCGAGGAAAATCAGGCTTCGTGCCACCCCAGGGTGCCGTTACCCTTAGACTCACCAAAGGGGTCAGAGGGGTTGGCAGGTGTTTTGGCATCTGTTCATCCCCACTCTTATAGACTAAGCCTTTTTTAGAAGCTCAAAACATTTACACAGCTCAGGGCAAAGGTCATCGTAGGGACCTTGTGTAACCTGCCTCAGTTCCCTGGTTGACCTGCCCTAGTCCCGCAGGTCTGTGGTCAGTGAACTTTTCAACCTTCCCTCAGGCGGCCACTGCCTGGCACCTGCATTCAATAAAGAACATGGGGCCACCTAGTGGAGAGATGGTAGTAGTACCTGGCTTTTGTGTCTTATTTTCTATTTTATTTTCTGAGCACTTTTATTTATTTCACATTATTCCGTAAGGATTATTGAGCACCAAGTCCATGCCAGGCACGGTTATAGTCATCAGGAATAGAGCAGTGAACAAAACAAAGCCTCTTCCCTAATGGGAGAAGATGACAGAAACCAATTAAGCAAATAAACATATACCAGGGGATAACCTATCCTCTAATAAACATAAAACAGGATACGGGAGTCCCAGAGTACAGAGAGAAGGAGGGGAGGTCTTTCCGTTTTATAAAAGGGACGTGAGAGGTGGGTCGACCCATACGGTGACATATATGGACAGAGACATGAGTTATGGGAGGAAAGAATGTTCTCACACAGGAAAAGGAACATGCAAAGGCCAGAGAGCACCTGTCATCGTCACAGACCAGCAAGCAGGCCTGTGTGGGGTCGGGGGAGCGAGGGGGAGAGGAAGAGATGAGGTCAGGCAGGTGGCAGATGGCCAGGGGTGGGCCCAGCATGCACTTCGGCTTTTCCTCTGAGTGATATGGGAGGACAAGAGAGCTGCTGCCAAACTGATCTGGGGTGTGAAAGGTCCGCTCCGGCTGCTGGGTGGAGGACAGACCACAGGGGTGAGGGGAGATGGCAGAGCCCCGTGAGCAGGCTCCGGCACTAATCTGGGTGACTGGGTCAGGGTTATTACTGGGGATGGGGTGAGAGGGATTGGATTTGTAGGCAGACTTAATATATCCTTGAGAATTTTGAGAGATCGGAGGGCACACACTGGGTCTGATGTGGGGACAGGCCCAGAGGTGAGAAACTCTGGATGGACTCAGGAGACCCCAAGTTCCTGGTTAAGAATCCAGGACCCCTTCCACTGGCCCACCTGCCGGTCGTTCCTCCCTCTGTCTGCTGCACCCCTCGCCCCCTCCCTGCCCCCGGCCCCGCTCACCCACGTGCTTGCCCTTCTTCGCAGGTTAACATAGACCACGAGACCAGGGAGCTGACCAGGACGAACCTGCAGGCCGCCACGGCCACATGCTTCGATGTGGCTCAGGGGAAGACACGCACACTGATGGAGAAGGACTCCTACCCACGCTTCCTGAAGTCACCCACTTACCGGGACCTGGCCACCCACGCCTCTGCCACCAGCACCTCTCCATCCAAGGGCAGCCCAGCAGAGCCCTCACACACCTGAGCCTCATGGCAGTGAGGAGCCAGCCGGGAAGAGAGGTGGAGTCACCCAGCCCCGAGGCCGCCGCCCCTGTGTGGGAGGCAGGTTCCGCAAAGCTGGCAAGAGGACAGTGAAGGAAAACGCCGATCCCGCTCCTCCAGATCCCGTGGGACTGAATTTCATGCGTGAGATGGTCCCCCACGTGCAGGACTTACGGATAAGGGCTGAAGAGGGCGGTCGCGTGGGGCTCTCTGGGGAGAAGGGTGGTGGTGTGAGAGTTGCCATTAGCTCTTGTCATTCGCAAAGGGACAAGAAATGTTCCAGGGCGGTTTGGGAAATATGTGACTAAAGGGAAACTTGAAAACGAGAGAGGGGAAGACAGCCAGATCGGCCGTTCTGCCTGTTGACGGACTGCACCCTGATCCCAGACTGTCCTGGGCACGGGAGGGAGCCGTGGGTGTGGACCCTTCCCGTTCTGCCACCTCACCTGCCTCTGGGCTGCCCGAGGGTCCCTTAGCTTGGACTTAACACTGCTGTGTCAAGGCCAGGGAACCAATGTGATGCTTGCCGCAGTGAGATTGTTATACCTCAAAAACTGGCCGTTGAGCCCCTTTCCAAGTCAGTAGAGCCCCGGAAAGGAGCCCTGTAGCTCATGTGAATTAATCTCGGTGCTCTCGGTGACCTTGCACGTGGCCCCTGACCCTGTGTTTGCCGCAGGGCCTGCCTGTGAGCAGGGCCCGCAGAGCGCCTCCTGCTGGGATGTGCCCTCTCTGAGCCCATGAGGGAAAGGCGCGTGGCCGCTCCGTCAGTGGCTCATCGGCTCCCGTGCCCAGCAGCGTGGACAGAGGGAGAAAATGGTCATGAGAAACAAAACTTTTGGCAGTTCCTGAAAGTCTTGTTTAAATCAAGCCAATATTTTTTGTGTGAGTGTGAGAACAGGGAAAAAGACACCCCAGAGTGGAAGGGGAGCCTCACGTTTCCTTCCTGTGGAAGTGAGGTGCGCTCACTAGCGTGCTGGGAAGGATGGGGCGGGACCACGATGAGCCTCGGGCAGACCACAGAGGCCGGGAGTGAAGTCCGGAAGCGAGGCTGCTTGGAAGAGCAGGCCTGGGGGAGATCAGAACCTGCCTGTCACCTCAGGGCATCACTGAACAAACCTCCTGAGGTGGGAGTAGTCCTCGAGCCCAGGCTGGGGAGGTGAATGAACCAGCCAGCCCTCTTGTGTCCCCGGAAAACCAACCCTGTTCTCGCTGCACTGTGAGCTCCTCCAGGAGAAAATTATTTAAGTATAACGTATTGTTGGTTTTGTGACGACCGTCATAGCATGTTATTTTTGTTACTGTTGTCAGTGTTGTTGCTATTGTTATTTATTATTGTGATTTTACTTTGACCCACTGACCCACTGACCGGAGACTCAACAGGAGTGGGCAGCCTGCCCCCCTCCCCCCGCCAGGCTCTACCTCCTCTCAGCGCCCAGCAGGACCTCCTCACTGTTTAAATATTTATTTTTTGTTGACAACTGGAGCTGGTTTCCAAGATACGAATGATCTACTCAATCTCCACTTTCCTGTGACAGCATGTTATATTCTTGTAAAATAAAAATAAAACCCACATATGAGATCCTGTCTCCCAGGGCTGTGTGCTTGGGGAGAAGGGATAGGGGAGCGCTCTGGGGGGGTCCTCAAGGATGGGCAGGCCTCCGGAAATTCCACAGGACAGGTGGCTGAGCTTCCCTGTCATAGGCAGGGGCACGAGTGACAAAAGACCCATGCCGGGCTGGTAACTGGCAGAATCGAGGAGAGGGGCGGAGACTCTGACAGTTGGCCACCACGATTGGTGACTGACTTCCTTCGGCTGATGACAACTTGTTTGGGGCTGTAATGTTGACTGGACCTGGCTCAGCCTGCTATCACTTCAGAGCCCAGATCCTTTGTCCGCCCAGTGGAGACTCAGCATAAGCCATTCCCAGTTCTGCCTGTAACAGCACACGGGGCGGTTCCCCTTGGTCAAGTAGCCAGGCATTATCAGGTAGGTGGTGACTACTGTGACATTGTTACTTTTACTCATTTTCAATGTGCATCAGCATTTTATAATTTCATATCAGTTCAAGTTAATATTCTTTAATAATTTCATAGATAACTCTGAGATGAGCTACGGGAAGCCCCTGTGTATGGGAGGCTGCTCCATTCCCTGGGCCGAGGGGATAAGAGGGGTGTGCTGGGCTTGAAAAATTTGGGGGTAGGTTTGCAAGGATCAAAATCCATTCCTCTGCCTACCGCCTACCTGTTCTTTCTTACCTTATTAATCTTTCATTTTTTTTCTGATTACCACTATTTAAAAAAATTCTTGTCTATGTTAAATGATCTGTTTATATATGGATCTTATATTGACTTTTATTTCTCCCCTGTTGTTAGTCTGAGTAAAGTGACCAGACTTCAGGTGCATCAGGTAGAAAACCCCTGGAATCGCACGCTAAGCTCAGCGGGGTCTGTGGGTGACACCTGAGGGATTCTGAGTTTAAGCACCTGGGAAGGAAGAGGGGAACGTGCGCTGTGGTGGTCCCTGATCTCATTTAGTCCTTGCGACAGCTCTGTGAGGTCAAGTTCGATTACCCTATGACAGGAATGAGGAAACCGAAGCTCCCAGAGCGGGGGACATGCCAGGGCAGTTGGCTTAAGAGCCAGCCGCAGGACGTGCAAGGGCATGGATGGGACCTTGTGGGCATCGTGTTAAGTGAAAGTCAGAAAGAGAAAGACACACTCCTGGGATCCGGCACGTCCTCTTCTCCGATTTTCTACTCCCTAAGCCTAGCACATGTCTGTGTTTAGCAAATGGCTCTTGAGTGAATGATTAATTTTAAATCCAGCAGGAGAAAAGTTTAGATGACCATTTCCAGCTTCCTGCCAGACTTCTCTCCCTGGATGTCCCACTGGCTCTTCTTAGGCAACACATTCAAAACCAAGGTCATTCTCATCCTCCGCTCTCTTCTGCACTCCTGACCCTGGTACACAGAGACGCTGCTTCTCCTCCCCAGGCTCACTAGGCCTTCATTGGAAGAGTCCTTCAGCTTCTGCAGTCTGTGCTATGAACACCCCCTCCCATCGCTCTCCCTCTCCCAGCCTCTTCCCCTCCAGCCGCTCATTTTCCTCCCTGCTCCAGTCTTTATCCACGAAGCACAGATCTGAGTACGTCGTGGCCGCATCGAAGCCCTTCCATGGCTCACCTCTGACTACAGGAGAAACCTCAGATCTTACCATGACACGGGAGGCTTGCTCTGGTTGACCCAAGCCCCTCTCTTGATTTATTTCCTGCCCAGACGGCCTCTGCGTACATGCTGTTCTCTCTGCTTGGATGTCCTCTTCCTCTTCCTCAAAATGCCTCCTCAAAATCCAGCAAAAAAAAAAAAAA